TTTACGTGTTGTTTCTTTTTTGTTTGTAGGGTTGTACATCGTAGTGATTTGATGTCGGCTTCCTAGGGAACAAACAGGCTTTGAACTTTATTCCTTTGACAAGAGGGATTCGTGCATTTGACAGTTATGTTGAAAGTGTCTGCACTGTGCCTTCCTGCTGAGCACTGGGGACCCAGTAATGAATGAGGCAGAGCAGTCTTTGCTCTCAGGAGGTGAAGGAAAACCGCTTTAATTGGTTAGTACTCCTTCAGCCCTGAGGTAAAGAGATGGGTATGAGACCAGAGATTCAGTAGGCGGTAATACCGGTCTCATTTTTATAAAACTAGAATGAAACTCTTTTTATCATTCACCCCCCTAAAAGTAGTCTACAAAATTACTAGTTGTGTTAATTGTTCATTTCTAAATATCCTAGTCCAATTCCCCCCTCCCCCCCAGGAGTAAGTGTGTAGGTAATAAAATGCATATTCTGGGGTTTCCTTTATGTTCACTTTCCTGGGCTGAATTTAAAATCCACTCTTCTGGCCGAAACCGGTTTGGCTCAGTGGACAGAGCGTCAGCCTGCGGACTGAAGGGTCCTGGGTTCGATTCCAGTCAAGGAAATGTACCTTGGTTGCAGGCACATCCCTGGTAGGGGGTGTGCAAGAGGCAGCTGATTGATGTTTCTAACTCTCTATCCCTCTCTCTTCCTCTCTGTAAAAAGTCAATAAAATATGTTAATAAAAAAAAGAAAGAAAGAAAGAAAAAATAATAATAAAATCCACTCTTCTGGCTCTTCCATGCTGCCTGGAATAGTTAGGTATCATTTACATCTCTAACACTTCTGCTTTAAGGGAATTGTACTTTAATTCAAATATTTTAAAGTATCCTTGAAGCAAAGAATAAACGTTAAGCTAGATTCTTTCTATAGTGCTTGGTCTGTAGGCGTTCCATCTGGTTCAAGTGCATCAGATTTGAGCAGGAAATTACTGCACATGCTCTGGACTCAAGCACACAGTCCATTCGACTCAGAGGGTAATTTGTGTTGCTGGCATTTTCAATAGAGATGGATTATTCCATCTCTCACTGTCCAGGGCAACGGACACTATTTCACCAGCAGAGAAATTCAGGACAATGAGGTATGCAAAAACTGTTGATTTTCATGATCACATCAATATTTGATTACCACGGGGGCAGCATCTAGCTACGCTGTGTTCTAGAACTGGTATTTACATGTATATTGTGTGGGGTCAAACAGATTTTAAAAATACAGAATGAAAATGTAGAAAACTAGAAATTCATCTATGCTGATTATGGCTAAACGGAGGAAGAAACATTCTTTATAAATGATTTCCTTAAATAGAAGAGCCAACTTTGCAAAGTGTGCCCTTTACCTGGAATAAAATGATCTCTTTGTTGACATAGTGCTTTGACTTTGACATAGAAAAGGCTGTTTCTTTTCCTAGCAGATATTTTTTTCTAGGTTACATATGCAATTAATGTAGAATTTTATACTGTATAACCTAGCACCTCTAGGTTTGATTTTACTTTTGCTTTTGTATTTGAAAGTCAGAGATTAAGCAACAGCATTTGTGGCAAAGCAATATACATAGAGACTTTTGCTATTCTTAGGGAGGATATGGAGGCAGCAGAGCATGCATTTTGTTCAGTCAACATGCAAGCAGCTCTCCCATTCTCTCATGACCCAGGCAGGAGTACTGCCTACCTGGTGCAAGTAGTCATCTTCCAACGTAAGTGTTCATGCCTCCACAAACATGCTACAGCTGGCTTTTCTGTTGACAGAGTGTTAAAGGGATAACAATAATCTGGGTCTTTAAAAAAAAAAAACCATGATGTCACTTCATATGCTTAATATTTGTGGTTCCAGTGAAAGAGATAGGAGATGCTTTAAAATCGAAGATAACACTTTGTGTGGAAATGTTTTTGCTGTTCTTTTGGAAAGATGGACGTTATATAGGTGTGAAAGCCATGACCGTTTAGAACAAAATAGGAAATAGGTTTAAGATTAGTGGTTTGCTAAAATAGAACTTGCTATTATTCAAATAAATAGGCATTTAAATCATAAAGAATTATTTTCAGATTTTAGAGTTAAAGACAACTCAGGCATATTCCACCTTAGTGTAAATTTAGAGGTGTTATAGGAACAAATAAAACTTTGGAAACCATATTAAAAATTGAGATATGAGTAAGGCTACTGATCATATTTGTTCTTACTATAAAAAGACAAAAATTACTCACGTCAATTACCCTTGCAGTTCTTGCCTTTTTGTGGGTATTTTAATTGAATAACAGCTGAAAAATGACAATGTCAGACTCTTATTGTTCATATAAAAGCACATTTCCATAGTCATGAAAAACAATGAAATCCTAATTTAAGCTTACTTTCCAAATTATATTTTCAATTGACCCTGGAAATAATCCTATAATATAGGCTAGAATAATTATTTCTCCCATTTTTAGGAAGAGAGCAAAGAGGCTTGGTTCTTGATGTTTTGGTACTTGGTACTATTTTGTGTCAATGTTATGTCTTTTTGTTGTTGTTGTTGTTGTTACATGAGACCTTTGCTTCTCTAATTTCAATACTTTCACTTTTATAAATCTCACAATCCTTTCTCTTTTTCCCCTTATTTTTTTAAATAGTTTTTTTCACTAAAGCATTATCTATGTTCAGCAGACACCTCTCCTCCCCCTAATTATTGAACTTACACACACACACACACACACATATATATATATATATCAGAAATTATAGAATGTAGTACATAAAAAAGACAAGAGGGAAAATGAAAGGCTAAAGAGGTTATTAGAAGCCAGGAAAATGTCAGAGAGAAAGGAAGAGAGCTCAGAACTTCAGAAGATAGATGATGGATGGTTGCTCATACAACAATTCTTTGGTGACCACATCCATCTGTTAACCCAGAAATAATGCTGCTGTCCTAGAAACTCACCTCCAAGGACCACCTTGTGCTAAATCAACATTAGAGTGGTCCCTCTCCTGGAGAAAACTCTTCACCAGAACCTGACCCCCGTCTCACCTTCCCAAACGCACTGTCACCTGACTCCTACTCATCCTCCTAATTTTTGCAACTTACTTTCTCCTATAAGCCTGGTTAGATAACCCTGCTGATTAGGTTTATCATGAAAATTAAACAACTGATAACAAGGTATTGTGCTAACTGCCCAATTTCCCATTAGAATATAAGAGTTATAAGAGCAGACATGTTTCCCTTTTTCTTTTTCCACATTGGTTTTTCTGGGCCTTATACAATGTTGGGCTCTGGCATAGGAGGGACTCAATAGGATATGTTGATTTGAATGGATTTGCTCTTTTTTCTACTTTTTAAATAATTCAGATTGTTTATTTTCTTATTATTGAGTTTTGAGAATACTTTTTAATAGTGTGGATTCAAGTATTTATAAGATATGTGATTTACAACTATTTTCTCCCATTCTGTAGCTTGTATTTTCATTATTTTCCTCCAATTATTTTATTGATTAAGGTATTACATATGTGTCTATATCCCTCATTGCTCCCCCCCCCCCCATTCTCATATATGCCCTCATCCTCCTGCTGTCCCTGTCCATTGGTTAGGCTTATATGCATGCATACAAGTATTTTGGTTGATCTCTCCCTTTTACCTCCACTCTCTCCTACCTTCCCTCTGAGGTTTGAGCACCAGATTGATGCTTCTCTGTCTCTGAATCTGTTTTTTGTTCATCAGTTTATGTTGCTCATTATATTCCACAAATGAGTGAGATCATGTGATATTTTTCTTTCTCTGACTACTTATTTCACTTAACATAATGCTCTCCAGTTCCATCCATGCTGTTGCAAATGGTAGGAGTTCCTTCCTTTTTACAGCAGTGTAGTATTCCACTGTGTAGACGTACCACAATTTTCTAATCCACTCATCAGCTGCTGTGCACTTAGGCTATTTTCAGATCTTAGCTATTGTATATAAATTGTGCTTCTATGAACATAAGAGTGCATATATCCTTTCTGATTGGTGTTTCTAGTTTCTTGGGATATATTCCTATAAATGGGATCACAATGGGACTACATCAAAATAAAAAACTTCTGCTCAGCAAAAGAAACCATCAACAAAACAACAAGAAAGCCCACTGCATGGGAGAACATATTTGTCAATGTTATCTCCAATAAGGGTTTAATCGCCAATATTTACAGGGAACTCATACAACTTAACAAAAGGAAAATAAACAACCAAATCAAAAAATGGGCAATGGACCCAAATAGATACTTTTTGGAAGAGGACATAGGAAGGCCAAGAGACATATAAAAACATGCTCACAACCACTGAACATCAGAGAGATGTAAATCAAAATGACAATGAGGTACCATCTCACACCTGTCAGAATGGCAATCATCAACAAATCAACAAATGACAAGTGGTGGTGAGGATGTGGAGAAAAAGGAACCCTCATGCACTGCTGGTGGGAATGCAGAGTACTACAGCCACTGTGGAGAACAGTGTGGAGTTTCCTAAAAAAACTAAAAATGGAACTCCCATTTGACCCAGTGACCCTCACTTCTAGGAATATTTTTCTACTTAAAAAAAAAATATTTTCATACTCTATATCATAATGGTGGCAGCTTATGGGTCTTTAATGCCTACATTGTCTGCAGTTAAAAAACATGTATGTGAATGGCACAGAGAGATTATGGGAACCATCAGTCTTCACCCTAAATTGGAATGTTAAAACATGCCAAGTGCTTGGCTTTCTTAAAGAAGAAGTTCTTGGAATCTATTAACAAAGAAATGCCTGTGGGGATGCACAGAAACCTGTGTCAAAGTGATCGTTCATCCTTCGTTCAGGGTCTGTGGGTCGGCCCCAGCAAATGCATCTTCATTTTATATTCTAGTCGGTCCAGAGACAATGAGACAACATCTAATATACTTGAGGACTGCATTAGATGGCAAGTCATCTGGCACACTAAATTGCTCTTAATATGATTTGTTCACAATTTTTCTATTTTATTACAGCCGAGGCACCGACAACAGACTGGCCCACCGGCGGCAGACAATTCTCCGGGAGAAGGGGAGAAGGTTAGCTAATCGAGGACCAGCGTACATGTTTAATGATCGCTCCACAAGCCTGTCTGTGGAGGAGGAGCGCTTTTTAGATGCAGCTGAATATGGCAACATCCCAGTGGTGAGAAAGATGCTAGAAGAATGCCTCTCCCTCAATGTCAACTGTGTGGATTACATGGGCCAGAATGCCCTGCAGTTGGCCGTGGCCAATGAGCATCTGGAAATCACAGAACTTCTACTCAAGAAAGAAAACCTCTCTCGAGTGGGGGACGCCTTGCTTCTGGCTATCAGCAAAGGTTATGTTCGGATAGTGGAAGCCATCCTCAGTCATCCCGCTTTTGCTGAAGGAAAGAGGTTAGCAACCAGCCCCAGCCAGTCTGAACTCCAGCAAGATGACTTTTATGCCTACGATGAGGATGGGACCCGCTTCTCCCATGACGTGACTCCAGTCATTCTGGCCGCCCACTGCCAGGAATATGAAATTGTGCACACCCTCCTGCGGAAGGGTGCCCGGATTGAACGGCCTCATGACTATTTCTGCAAGTGCAGTGAATGCAACCAGAAACAGAAACATGACTCCTTTAGCCACTCCAGGTCTAGGATTAATGCCTACAAAGGCCTGGCGAGTCCAGCTTACCTGTCTTTGTCCAGCGAAGACCCGGTCATGACGGCTTTAGAGCTTAGCAATGAGCTGGCAGTGCTGGCCAACATTGAGAAAGAGTTCAAGGTGGGTCTTTATAACAATGAGGACTTCACTCTCCACAGGTCAAAGTCAGGATATATTTACGAGCTTCCACTGTGGGCTCAGCATTGTGCTAGTTACTGTGGACAGTAGGCAATTTTATATATATTTTTTCCGACAAGCTCTTTGTTATAATTATATGTAGTCAAAGTGGTGATGGCAAGCATTTAGAGATATTCTGCTATACACTAGAGATTTTCCAGTTATGATGTCTAATCTTTACCACAACCTTGAGAAGCATTACTTCCTTTTTAGGTGGATAAATGGAGGTATGGAAAGGTTAAGTAAGGCCCAAGATCCCCAACTGGCAAATGACAGCTGGATCGGAATCCAGCTCTGCTGTACTCTAAAACCTAGGTTCCTTCTCCTATAAAACTCTGTTTCTGTGTTCAGAGCATGGTGATCAGTGCTGCTGAGGTTGGGAAGATGAACTAGCTGCAGGAAGACACAGTTTAACTTGAGAGACATAAGGCTCTGGGTATTAAAAATATCCCAGAAAGAATTAACTTTACATCTGTTATTTGTGCATTTGAACAAAACTATATACATTAAACATCATTGTTTAATATACAAATATATACAAAATTTGAAAAGTAATTTTGAATATATGGCACAACTCTTATCAGAAATGAATTTTTAGTGGGATTAATTGTGTTCACACTTTTGTTATATATTTAATGAGATTAAAAGGTGTATCCTGCTAAGAGTATCTTGGTGAGGCAGTTAGCATGTTACTTTAGTTTTTGTTAATAAGCTGTATAAATTATTAAAGGTTTTTTGAAATAAAATTTTTAAAACATTGACTGTAGGTAGAATAAATATTTCTCGATACGGCTTAGTAACAACCTTTCTAAATTACACACAATGGATCGGGAAGAAATCACATAACAGTTTTATCCATATGTGTTAGCCAATGTCCTAGGAAAATTCTGAGTTCTGGAAACCATTCCGAGTCATGTTAAAAAGAGTCAGCATTACTAATTTTTTTCTACCTTGGCCATTTGAGATGCCGTCATACTAGCTGATGATACAATCCTAAAGATGAGTATTCATACTCATTTAAAAGAATCACACTTATTTTTAAGTACATGAAACATTTATTTTTATATTCAATATTCCCTGCCGAAGCCTTCTCTGCCATTTTCTCCCTAGACTTTCATTCAAGAGGGATGTGTTTTTTTGGACAATTGTTGGAGAATGAAGGGGCAAATATATTAAAAGTTATCATTTGTCACTGTCACCGCACAGTATCATGCTTCTAAATTCAGAACATCCTAACATGAACCAGCACATTGTATTTTTATCACTAAGCATGAAGTTCAACAGAGATGTGTATTAAGACAGGGAAATTCAGGGACCCTTCAGGGTCTATGGGACCTGGATTAATCATTAAAGGGGGTTTCCTCATTGCTGGCTACATGGGTGGGTAAGAGTGGAGAATTCTCTTGTAAAAGGGCAAAGTATATATTTTAAAGGAAATTTGTTTGAGGAAAGTTGAGGACCTGGAAATTGATTCTCTTAAAGCTATCAATATTCTAGGGCAGTGGTCGGCAAACTCATTAGTCAGCAGAGCCAAATATCAACAGTACAAAGATTGAAATTTCTTTTGTGAGCTGAAAACCAACTTCTGCTCATGGACCACGAAGTTTCTGTACGTGTGCGCCTGCATGCGGTATTTTGTGGAAGGGACAGACTCAAGGGGCCAAAGAGCAGCATGTGGTTCTTGAGCTGCAGTTTACAGACCACTGTTTTATGGTCCTAGAAAGTCTTGGAGGCAACTAATCTATTTTGTGAGTCAGAGTGTATGATCTTTCACAAAGATTTTTGTAAACTTGAATATATAAATTCCTAAGCTTCTCCTGGACTCTCCCATCCATAATACCCTGCAGTCCAAGCATGTCAAACTCAAAGATTAACATGGGCCAAATAAACAAGGTTTAAGTTTACATGAGTTACAAAAAAACAAATGCTTCAGTTTTCATAGAAACGTAGGTTTATTTCTATAGAGATGCTGAGTACAAAGAACGGAAAGAAATGAGTAATTGTTAACCTAAAATAATAGACCATTTCAATAAAAATTAATATTCTTTCCTGAACATTAACTTACCACACACTGAATAACTACACAAATTAGTAAGTGTAACACAAATAAACCTATTTTTCTTGTTCTCTGAAAGCAACATATTTCCTGTTGCTCACACCAAACAAGTCAGTCTAAGACTAATGACATGGCAATGGGCTGCTAAAATATTCGCTGCTAATATTAGTGGAGAGAAATGGTGTGTCTGCATGTAAGGCTGCCTAAAGGAAATGAATGCAACATGATTATAGTAATCAGTCATTAGCGAATGTTGTCATTTATTATTAATAATTATGCAAAACAGGACATTGTAAAAAGTTATGAAATTTTTATTAAAACATTTCTTACATACTGTAATATTGACTGGGCCACAAAAATATTCATTTTTGATTGCATGTGGCCCACAGGCCAGGAATTTGACATGCTTGCCATAGTCCATTAACAAAAGAGGCCAGAGGAGTTGCTATTGAGTTTCACGGAAAATTTTAGTCTTGCACCTTGAATCTCCTAAACTGAACAAATTGCATTAATTACCCATATCACCACGTCTGTAGCTGGCTCCATGCAGAGGTACAACCATGCCACAACACAGAAATCTAACAATTAGATGAAGCCACGGGATTAAGAAGAAAACTAATAGGCCTGAGGAATTACATGTCTTTAAAGAGAATGGAGAGAAATGAAATTCAAAAGATTTTTACCCATTCAAATTCAACTTTCATATTAAATTTTTAAGAATACATTTTTGCTTTGGACACATGAGACCTTAGCCACCTTAAATTTGGGCTAAGTCTAAATTTTGTAGCAAACACCAAATCAATTCTATCTAAAAAAAAGATAGGGGATATGCAAATTGACCATCACACCCTCACAAAGATGGCAACACCCACAGTCATTAAGGAGGGAATATGCTAATTCAATGCCATGTCCTCAAAGATGGTGGCACTTATAGCCACAAAATGGCAACCCAGTCCCCTCAGCCCTGCTGGGGTGGCAGGCACGCATTGAGGCCGGGCTGGCCCCCAGGAGGGTCCACTGCTCCTTGTGCCTGCCTCTAGAGTTCCCAAGTCCCCTCAGCCCCCCAGCCACCCAGGACCACCCGAGTCTTGTGCTGCTGGAGTGGCAGCAGCAGAGGTGTGATGGGGTCATCACCTTCCCTTGATCGCCAGGTTGCCTTCCTCCCTTGAGGGCTCTTGGATTGTGAGAGGGGGCAGACCAGGCTGACGGACCCCCATCTAGTGCTTGAATTTTCATGCACCAGGCTGCTAGTAATAATAATAAAAAGGAATACTCACAACTTACCTTTTTGATACCAAAGAGAGCATGACTCCTGGCTTTTCTCCTTGACTCAAGACTAAGCTCAGATAAGGTAGAATCATCTTACAGACAAGGAAACAAATACCAAGGATGGTTTTGTCAGCAACTTCATTCTCCTAAATTTCTAATTTTCTTTTAGCATCTCAATATGTACCTATGACTTATGTCTTTACAACTTTTTTAATTTTATTGATTATGGTATAACATAATTGTCCTCACCCCCCATTCCCATCCCAATCCCCTCCCCACATATGCCCCCACCCCCCTGTTGTCCATGGCCACTGGCTAGGCCCATATGCATGCACACAGTCCTTTGGTTAATCTCTCTTCCTTACCCCACCCTCCCCTACTTTCCCTCTGAGGTTTGAGAGTCTGATTGCTGCTTCTCTTTCTCTGGGTCTGTTTTTGTTCATCAGTATATGTTCATTATTTCCTGTAGATGTGTGAGATCATGTGATCCAAGAAATACCCTTATAAGAACTGAAATTGAGACAAGCCATTATGGTCATGCTGAGAGGCAAATGAATCAGTCTGTAGTGAGTTCCTTTCTGGACCAACAGTTCTTTTGAGACCCAATTTCAATGTCAAACAGTTCCTTATGTGTACATGTCAGCCTTGATATTTCAGATCTGGTTTACACCCTTTTGATATGTTAGGTCATTGGTGGTAACAGACAGTGTTACCTATTATCACCTCTTCATGCTCCAGGGATTGTCACCATCCCTGTCATTCTAGATAAGTAGCTTTCTGCAGCTTTTGCAGCTCCTTTATGTCTCCCCAGGGGTCTGTGCCCACACATGCACACGGCCCTCCAGCTGCCCCTGCTGTTGACTTTGAGAACTCGGAAGGTAGAGAAACTCCTGCTTCGTCTGTTTTTAAACCATTGCTATGTTCTGGTGTGCAGATGTTCCAAATGTCTCGCATTATTTGAAAGAGAAGTATCTTCTGAGAATCTGACAGGGATGAAAAGTAGTTTTTGTTAGCAGAAAGGCAGTGTAACTGTTATCAGACCTTAGCAGAGTGACAAAGAGTATAGCTAAAGTTCTCAGTAGCCTACAATGCAGAATCACAGCATCAGAAGCACGGGCCTGGGATCCTGGCCAAAAAGGAAGGAGGCAAAGTACCTTTATTTGAGCTTTATGAGTTATTCTAAGTGATTTACACTATAACTTTATGATAGAGCAGCAATTGCATTCTCCATAATTAGGGAAAATCCACAGAGGGTCAGAAAATAAAATAACCTAAGATTATATAGCTATTAAGTAGTAGAGCAAGAATAAAAACCCAGGTATGTTTTGTACCCAGCCATGTTCCTTTCTTTACATCACTTTGATTACCTCCTATGTGCTATATGCTGCACTCAGATGTGAGGACTCAAACATGAGTAAGATCTATAATAGTCATTGCTCTGAAGGATGCTTGAACCTACTTGAGAGAGGCAGATACATAGACCACCTAAACTCACTAATGCACGAGTGTGTATGTTTTTGCCTTTGCCTTTCCTGCCCGAATCTGAAGTAGGTGGAGAGAGAAGCTCATTTGGGCAGAATTTTAGATCTAAGGCAAGTCAGCCATGAGGAGGGAAGTG